AGATAGATAGATAGATAGATAGATAGATAGATAGATAGATAGATAGATAGATAGATAGATAGATAGATAGATAGATAGATAGATAGATAGATAAAAATGACAAAAAAAAACATTTGTTGTGTAGGGATGCCCATGTCATGTTTCTCATGAGTTGAAGCCTCTGTGAGGATGTTTCTCCAAACTTTTTCACCATAAAAAGTGAGGAACATCCACACACAAAAGAACAGGTGTGCCCACGTAGACACACACAGAGGGATACACTTGCAGTGGGTTCTGCAGTAAATGTTAGCAAAAATGTGCCTCTAAAGTGGGTGGCTATCAATGCTGAGGGAGCGGGGGGGGTTTGGTAAGGAGGGTGCTCACCCCCACAGTGGGACAGCCCGTACAGCACATATCCCTTGTGGCAGGAGCACTCATAGCTGCCGGGGGAGTTGACACAGGAGTGGTCGCAGGTCCGCTCGAAGGAACACTCGTCGATGTCTGTGGAGGAACAGAGCAAGAAAGAGGCTCAGTTCTTTGGTAGGGGGGAGGGGGGGGGGTGTATCTCAGCTCACAGCCCATATACGTCAAGAGCGTGGGGAGACCCCCAGGGCGTCGCTGTCAGCATAAAGGATTCACAATGCTCAATGGAGCGATTTGAAAAGCACAGTCTCCAAGCTGTGCATAAACTACACGGTGTCTACTAATTATACATTCATAAGCCGTCAAAATGTCTACTACTCATATGTACGTTACAATGAAGAACTCTGGATCTCTTCAAGGAAAGACTCAAAGCCCAGCACTTCAGCAATTTAGCCCTGAATTGCCAAGAACGCTGACTCACATTCTGCTAATTAAAAAGTGAACACGATGCCTGTTTTTGTAGATTTTTAAATGCCCCCAAGGACAAATTATTTAGCACTTTATGGAAACAGGCACTGAATCCCAACATGGCCGACAAATCTGTGTGTGTTGCGGACTGTTGTGTCACTTTCCAGAGTTATTGTTCTTATCAGCACTCACTTGCAGGCTGAATTGGATATAAACCATCATATAGATTAAGAAAAGTTAATGTGAATTCAGACTGGAGTGTTTCAGGGGAACAGGAACGTGAATCAGCAGATGTCAGCTGCAAGAATCAGGGTATCAGCGAAACGGCCACATGCATCGTGAAAGTGCAAGAAAGGCAAAGTCGTTGAAACAATCGACTAGAACAAATTGGAAATACTTTCTGCACTTTTGTCTTTGGCAATAACGGCAACAGCATGGACTGCCGTCTCAGCTCCTGGGGAGGGGGGTGCAGAGAAAGGGTAGGCATTCTTTACTCCGTACTCGGTGAGGGATATTCTTTGCCAGAGATAAATGCTAAAAGTCAAACCAGAACTCTTTGTTCTCAACTCCTCCCCATCATCAAAAACGAGTCAGGTTTCCGTGGATAACCAGACTGAAATATCACAGAGTGGACCAGTGCGCTCACGTGTCACCACGAGGGCGCCTTCTGGAATTCATTGACATTTACATTTGCGCATTCGCTCAGTGATGCTCTCGTCTGGGCAGTTGAAATCTAGTGAGAGCAAGCGGAGGTACTGTCTGATTAACAACAGCTCCAAATTATGTAACCTCGCAGTGACCTGTGGCAATGCTATGGTATCTACCTGAAATTCTTTTCATTATCCCACAATCTTCTGCTGTTGGTATGTTGGTATAGTTGTGTAGTTGATGCTTTCACTAAGGTGGGTGCCAAAGTTGAGTTAATAAGCTGGTTCAACATTATCACACCAAGGAATCTCATGGCAACCAGAAACCTTGGGAAATAAAGTTGTTATCCAGTGCAGTACCTTCTGCATTGCTTGAGACACACTTAGGTAAAGCGCATGTAGAATACAGTCAGAGGAAAATAGACCTGAGTGACTAATTAAAAATTAATTCCAAGGAAAGCTACCAGCTGTGAGAACTGAACTGATGAGACACACAGAGATAAACATATGAAATGTTCACTGAAAGCTTCTGGAAAAAGGCTTGTTGAGAGAAGCAACTGTACAGTGTTGATGAGATGTGGGCATCAATACATTATACAATTTCACAGCTCTTTCACAGAACTCACGTTGTTGATCCAGAAGATAGAGATATGTGTGGAGAGCCCTAATACAATGATTCCTTTAAAACATTTCCCAGAATCCAAAACTTCGTCAGCCATTTTAAAGTGGGTGTTTTACGTTTTAATTTTGTGATCAATGTCCAAAAAACGATGGAAAAAACTGTTTCTCAGTTTTATACTGTTTTTTTTTTGGGGGGGGGGGGGGAGTGGTGAATCAGATTGTGTGATGTAATAGATGCCACCAATATTCACAAATAAATTGCACATTTACCACACGCACACTTACTGTGGACTGTGTATCTCCTTCATGTAATTAGAGATTGGAAAAGCATAATAAAAGTTCTGCAATCATTTTTAATGAATTAATTTAAGAATTTATTTAAGGATTAATCTGGAAACATCCTTCCCAATTGCCGTAGTGGATGCTCCCCAAAATTCAGTACAGTAACTATTAGAAGATGTCATGGTGGAGGAGGGCAGTTCTCCATTACTGAACGGCGTGGGGGCGGGGCCTCACCTTGGCATGTCCTCTCATTGGTCAGAAGCTTGTAGCCTTTCCTGCAGCTGCATTCGAAGCTTCCCACAGTGTTCCGGCAATCATGGCCACACCCACCATTGCCCACCTGGCACTCATCGATATCTGGGGGGGGGCAAGGGACACATTCAGAGGGATAGAAACCTACACAGGCCCGCCATGGAGAAGCTAGTCAGCGTGGTTCTCAAAATGGGGGTAAGAGACAAAAATGGGTGGAGAAGTAGGAAATATGAATCTTCAGCCGGTGGAAGAGAGGTTCAAACAGTCCCACTTTGTTCCGTACCCAAAATAACAAGGTAATCACAAAAAGAATCAAGATAGAGCAACAGTGACCCTCTTCCTGAACCCACACCTTGTCTCAATGGCTAAACTTCACCCTCCCATTTATTATAACAATAGGCAGGGTGTAAATCAGGGGGAGGGTCTCAGTTCACCCGGGAATGCTGGCAGGGAGCCGGTCGATGGCTCCTCTAGAAGTCACCTGTGGCTCGCTTCTTTCCCGTGGAGAGAAAGATGTGCTATTTCTCAGACCTAAGCCGGTTCTCCCTTACAATGGCATATGGCTTAGGGAGGAGGCTGCTCTGGGTAAGCATCGGAGGAGGCCGTGGTCTGCCAGGGGTGGGGGTTTGTGGAAGGAGCTGTTCAAGGGCAGGGCGGGAAGAAAAAGAGAGGAACAAAAGCAAAGCAGATGGAGGCAAGGGAGAATGCATGGGGGGGGCACTGGACATTGCTCACATACTCCGTTAGCTGGGTCCGCGGGGGTGGTCCATTCATAAGGCCAGGATGTGTGTATGCACACTTTCAAAGCTGAGGATCACCACCCATGCTGTGGCTGTTAATATATGTGTATGTGTGTGTGTGTGGGGGGGGGAAGGGGGGGGGGGTGGAGGCAGCAGCAGGGGACCAAAAGGCTTACAAGACCACCCCCTGCCTGGTGATCCACACAGGGCTTCTGGATGAAGAGGAAGTCCAGTCACGGGTCATGTCTGGGAGCTCCGCTTTGTGGGGGGGGGGGGGGGGGGTCACACACAACCTGATATGTTCTCTGACAAATTCAGGGGGCATGGTGTTGAAGAACAGTCCTTGATGTCTGGGACTTGTGCTGCCGCACATATCCTGCCCCCAGCTGGTCTGGTTTATCCCTTTTCGACCGCAGATCACACTGATTCCGGATTCCGATCGGTCTGTTCCCCCGGGCTTCTCCCAGGAAGCTTCAGATTACGTTTGAATCACCGCTGTAAATAAGCCATTAGGCTGAAGGGAGGCCTCATCTGGACAGAATTAAGCATATTAACAATGGGGTAGAACTTCCCTCCACCACGGATGGGTTCTCCCCTTGAGGCCTAGCGGCAGGCTATCACCTCGTCTTTTAGGAGAATATTATTCTCTTCTCTTCTACAAGCTGAAAACCTTAAAGCTTGTCAGCCTGAAGCCTGAAAAAGTCGGGGTGTTTCACCAACGTCCATCAGCAGCGCTGTACTGCTGAGGAGCAGGATGATTCCCAACAGCAAATTTCGGCAAGACCTGGATTCCCCTTCTGGAAAGAGACCCCCCCCCCACACATACTTATCTCTAGCTTTGTCTTATTTTAAAGCCTGACAGCCACCAAAAAACTTTGTAAACAGGATAGATGCAACAGCTGGAAGTTAGGCAATGCCGTCAACATTCAGTGGTTTCTGATAGCTAACAGTTTTTCACAACCCTTCTCAAGTCACTGGCCACCAGTCATTTATGTTTCAACAGAAGACGAGATCAAGAACATGGTCTGTCAGGTCAGAAAGTGAAAGAGTAGGGAGTGCTGACAGTGATGCAGAAGGTTTGACAAGCAGAGGGTGAGGAAGAATGTTGGGGAGGATAGTGTAAAAGGTGAAGTAGAAGATATGATTTCTTTTTTCTTTTTTGCAATTTGTACAAGCACAAATACGTCGGCATTCTTTGGTTTTTACACAACCTGATTCGCTCTTCTATGAGCGTTTGGGTCAGAGCACAAGTTCAGTCATTTTCTGACACCGCTGCAGCAGTTTTTTGGGGTTAAAGACCTTGCTCAAAAGCCCTGTGGTCATATGATCAACTTGAGCAGCCAGGGGATTTGGGCGGTTAACAATTTGGTCACAGACATGTAACCCAAACAGCCGCAAACCACAGCAAGTGGCAAGAGAGGCAGGTTTAGAAGGTAAAATTAGGGAGGTTAGAGGGTGCAGGGAATAAAGTGGAAGGTGGAAGGAGTGAGTGTAGGGTGTGGGAGGTGAAGTGGGAAGCCATAGACTGAAAGGGAGGTTAAGGAGCATAAAGGTGATGATAAACAGGGGAACATCCTGAGTAATGTTGCCAGGCAACCGCCAATCACCTGAGACAAAGGGCAACACATCTGGATGATCGTGAAAAGTTGCCCACGCCCGAGCAAAGATTTTCAAATTGAAATTTGTCGGCTAATATCAAAGGAAAAGCAACACTGCCCAGCAACACTGGTCAAACATTAGCCCTGTGTATCATATATCAGAAATACTATACCTTTGCAGGTGTTCTGCTCTGGTATGAGGGCGAAACCCACAGGACAGCTGCATGTCATCTGGCCATGGCAGGAGCTGTCACAATGGCTGCTGCCTACAGAGCATGTGTCTGTGGGAACAGGCAAGGAGAGGTCAAACACCACAGACAGACGCAATCCAAGGGAACAATCAGCACTGCAAACCATCCACAGGACATGCTTTCACACAGCATTCCATACTTTAGGTCACTCTGTACCAAGCAATGAAAAATCAGAATAGTGAATAACGAAATATCTCTTGTGTCTGCAAGGAATCAACGAGCCGGACAGGTCCAGGGACCCTTCAGGAATGTCTATGAAGCTCGTGCCCACAGTGAGCCAGTCATGGAGGACACACAGTCCGAACCTAGCACTGTCTCAGCTGTCACATATCACAGAAATTAGCATACAGAAGACAGCAGAGGAGACTCAATTTGACCTTTTATGCTGATTTTTCTGAAAATAAAGCAAAGCCGGAAAAGGCCAGGGTCAAAGATGGTGCACGTTGGATCTATTTTATTTAGGGAATGCAGCTTATAATCAATTCAACAATTTTCCGCTAACACGCCACGTCAGTACGAAAATGCAGAGTACAATAAAAAACGCGTTGCTCTCCATTTGTAACGGAATCATTGTATTCTATTCCAGCCCACAGAGTCAGGAACGGCAATTTCAGCAGGAGTGTGTGATTAGTGGAATGGGATGTTTTAGGAACCAGCAGAGGCTCACAGGTGGATTGAACCCGGGGAGCAGAAATTTACAGATAAGTGGCGGTGAAATCATCACTGAATTGAGTCATTCTCACTCAGTAGCTGTGCTCTTCTTCATGTTAGACTGGCAATGGAGCCTTAAGAAAGAAAGCTGGGCCTAAAAATCCCAAACATAAACCCATAATAGAATAACACCCCCTCAAAAATGACGGGCAGGAGGCATGGATGGGGAGAGGGGTGCTCAATCATTTCCAATCCTTATATAACATTAAATAACACCTGTCCAACAACGTCACCCTCACCAGTCACATCACAGAAGATAAAAAGTAGCAAATTTACCTGAGTGGAACCCTATTTCTTCCACACATATTTTGCCTTCATTACAGCTATCAAGCAATCAGCACAGACCTTACTGTTAACCTGGTAAATTACTTACCAGATCACTCACTCCCCATTAAGGTGATGATATAACTATCAAAGCAGCACCTTCTAACTATCGGTTTATGTTTTCTGTATATTACTTCTAACTGCTTAATAAATACTTATCTATATTTATTAATATTTAATTATCTACCTACCCATCCATCCATCCATCCATCCATTTTCTGTACCCACTTGTCTTGTTCAAGGTCACAGGGGGAGTCTATCCTGGAAGCTACAGTGCAAAGTAACCCTGAACAGGGCAATATTTAATTCCATTTAGTAATGTACATATAATTTATTAGTATTTATCTATCATAAATATTTACATTTATTTCATTTAGCAGACACTTGAGTCCAAAATGACATACAAGTAATGCAAACAGCACATTACAAACATACGGCTGTCAAGGAATTGACTATTAGTTATCTGTGGTGTACCTATGAATCTATTATGTTGAATTCATGGAGCCATGATAAGAGAAAGGTGTTCTGGTGGAAACCACAAGAGCGGTGGACTGCATCAGGCAGAAACATAATTGGTTAGCAGCACATGAGTGCTGCTGCCGGCTGTAGAAGTTCTTTACTGGCTAACAGCCCCAGTGGGTAAATTTACACCTGAAATGGGTCAGTGACATTCAAAATAAACACTGCAAGAGCAAGGCCCATTAAGAGCCCATTAAGAGTTTATCACTAAACACTGAAGCGTGACTTCAGGATCCTTCACAGATGTGCTCCTGAGTCACGTTCAAAGGCTTGTTTGCTTCGTTTCTTGGTTCTGTGGATTTTATTTCTCCCTTATCAGTGATTGTTTATACAACGGATGCTCTTGTAGTAAGCGACAGTCACCGTACATCTGAGGGTTATAAGATACACAGGGTCAGCCGCTAAAGGCTACCACCTTAATTGTGCGTTACAGTGTCTAGACTGATCGGGAGGATCGCTGTGGAGATCTTTCGCATGGTTCGAGGTCGGAGTCATTGCTCGAGCCTCATTGTTTGTTTCCACAACGGTCAGACCCCACCCCCACATCAAAACCACTTTCCACGAGACGCCCAGAAACTGAGAATGTGGTCGACGGAAAGCCGAGGCACACGGGTTGATTCGATTTCCCGAGCTACATGCTGGGAGACTCAGGCACTTGATGTGATGAGCAAGAAATGAGACACGGGGGACAGGTCCGCTATATCCTGGCAGTATACAACGTGCTTAAGATTACAAACCAACAAATATTTATGCTGTTGACTGCATGATTGTTTATAGAACGTGTGTGGCCTTTGTCTTGGGTTCTCAGTTTAGATATTTACTGCTTGCTGACAGTTTGGGGTTATGGCCCAGCACGCAAGGTTGTCTGCCATCAGTGAGATTCTCTGGAAGTTCCTGACACTCTCTAAATAGCCCCCTACAAATCATGGGATGGAAAACCAAATCTTTACCTTGCATGGGTCACCTCTGGCAGTGACTCCTTTGTCCATGGTATATTGTCAGAGAGGACAGATATGAGATGGATGAAAAGAGTAGGAGCTCTCATCGCTCTAAAACCTCCGCAATATTCTGAAACATGCATACAGACACAACAGCAAATGGTGTAGTGATGATAAACACAGGCTTGCAGCCCTGAGTTATGCTGGTTAAGTTACCGGGAAGGGGGTCCGTAGTTGTACCCTTGAGCTAGGCAATTAACCTGAATTACCTCATTAAATGTCAAGCTGTATTAAGAGGCCACTAACTTCAGACAGCTACTGAAGAACCTAAAATGAATAAAAGATAAACTACAGCAAACTGCTAGAGCGAGTAGTTCTGGAGAGTCACGGTCTACACTGGCCGTGTTAAACGCCGTCCTGATGCTTCCAAAGGAGGACAGACAGAAAAGGGAATTGCTCAGACTTGCAATGCGTAGCGAGTCAGATGAGGCAGCCTGCCAGTAGCTGAGGAGCAGGATGAGATCCAGGGAAATCAGACAGGAGCCAGGGACACTGCTGCTTTCAGAAATAGCCCTGGAGAGATGAGGATTTAGGTTATTTAGAGCCAGACTTGTCCCCTACCTGTCCCGTTCTTGAAATGCAAATGAACTAGGGCCCATGGGTCCATCCGGAAACAGCCACCAGTATGACTAGAGTGACACCGCAAAAAATTCCACTCCTTCTCAGGGCAGGTTGCTGGCAAAACTTCTTCCCTGTCGCTGCTAAAATAACAACATTGGCTCTTAGGAGAGAAAGGCTCAAGCTGCTGAAGCGCTATATCGGGGTAGCAAGCTTTGAGCTCTCATGTGGGAGATTTCTGAAAGCATTTTGACAGAAGAAAAGACTGACAAAAGCCGGGGACGCCCAGAAGCCAAACGGCATAAGACCCAACAGCCATATTTCTTCTGGCAAAAGGTTGAAATGAACCATCAGGTTATTAACAAAAAGAGCTTGAGGGGTTGATCCATTTAGTAACATCTCACCATCACAAACCTCTGAAAACAAACGGGGTCAGCAGTGGGGCAGGTGTGCATTACTCCCCGGACGACACCCTCCGAAGTGCTGGGGAGAACAACTCCCTCAATGTCAAAATAAATAGACAGAGTTAAAAAATCCAGATTTCAGCTTGAAGGGCACCTTGGGATGGAAGCAGCATTCATTCGTCATCGAGCCTCCCCGCATGTCATTTTTCCATACACAGAAGGATTAACTTTGTCCAGAAAATATTTTTAAAATACCAGAATGTGTTCCTCAATGTCTATGTTTACGTTCACAGGAAATCTAACATTCCAGGTGATACGGGCCAAAGAAAGAGTTACAACACATCAGCACGCCGTGGCCACGATGTTCTGACAGGCGCTGCGGCCGATGGGACAGAGGAGCAGTGGGAGGCAGCACTGCAAGCTGTCAGTTCTGCTCAGCGCAGGAACACATGCTGGTGGCGGGGGGGACATCTTTAATGAGGGCCACCGACATCTAGCAGACCAGGCCTGTGATCTGCAGCGCTTACAAGAGGCAAACTAGATTTAACGGCTTAAAAAATATCCAAAAATATTACAGGTTGGTTCCTAGACTTTGATCTGGGGCCTCACTGCAAGCTGATCAAGTTAAATACAATAACCACTGGTGGCAGGAGCTGGGTAGAAGGTGCAGTTATATACCTGCATGAACATTCTGGCAGCAAAACTTTACAATATCCAAAGGTAATGGAGATTTATGCAGAGACACATTTATGATTTATCAATTTTGTTTAATAGTAAACACAGGGCTGCACGAAAGCTAGGCAGAGGCCCTGAAAACACACCCCCCTTTTGCTTTGGGAATTAGCTTGTGACACACATACAAATACCCTCCAGCTGACAGACAGGCCAGGCACACGTACAAATGCCCACCACACACACACCTGCTTACAATGGAAACTAACCGAAAGGAAAAGACAAATTTTGTATGTACTGAAACCATTTCAAATTCCCAGATATTTTTTTCGATAAAAGAGACTGTTAAGGTCGTGTAACGTTTTGTGTAAAGTCTTTAAAATTGACAGAGAAGATTGTGGTGGACCCCCATGATGGGTAGCTGGGGTCTCTGAGGGTTCAAGTACAGACCAAAGACCTGGTGCAAGATGGGATGACTGTTCTGGAACTGACTGCTGTCACGACAACCATGGAACACTAATACTGAAATGAAAAGCAAACAAATGTGACTTTTTGTTGTATTTATCAGTGCTAACTGAGGGCTCCCGGCAGAGGGCTAGCGAGGACAGGTGATGGGATCATCAGACGGAACCAGTGCCACGATCCCCACCTGGGGGAGCCCAGAAGAGAAGCAGGCTGTTTGACAGGCGACTCCCACGGGCCTGTTCCCGAGGGCCACAGGGTCACACTCACCCACACAGGATTTGCCATCGGAATGAAGTGTGAACTTCATGTGGCAGCTGCATTTGGGCCCCTGGTCTGTGTCTTCACAGATGTGCTGGCAACCCCCGTTGCCATAGTTACATGTCACTGCCAGGGAGAATAAAGAGACGGGAAGAATGCACTTTCGAGATAGCAGCACAGATATCACAAGCGCAAGGCGGCGTCGTATAACCTTATCTAACACCATACTTTAAGATGCCTGTTATTGAAGTACATCTGAGTTTGCATTAAAACAAACTGAGGGCAATGTGTTAACCTGACTATATGGTCGGGCTGGATTTAATTGAACAATGGATGGGCAAGAAAAGGCGAGTTCCCTAGAAAGTTCCGGAAAAGACTCCTTGCTCAGCCGGCCAGTGGCGGCTTCCTTCTTTAAAGTTCTCTGTCTGCATTCCGCAGCTGTCGTCCTGACGACCTGCTGTGACCGCTTGTTTTGGTTCCATTAATGAGCCCAGAATGAGCGGTCGATTTATGTTCCCGCTGTTTGTTTGACCCATCTCGACACTCCTGAGTTATCTCTATGCTAGCACTCTGTTCGTATTGACTGGAAGTCTGAAACAACAACTGTATCCTTTTTTTTTCAGCCCAAAACAATTACGTACCAAATGTAACTACGATCAATAATAATTTGAATACCACTTATTTGAAGATTACTTAAATGCTCAGAGGTCTAAATTAATTAAATAAATTATCTGACTAATCGATTCCTACAACTGTTTGAGGTGCATAACCAGCCAGCCCAAACCTTAAGCTGATCCATTTGACTTTTTACATGCAAAAGCACAGTTACACTTATTCCATCTCTAAGTATTAGTGTTCTTTTGCTACACTGAAGTGTAAACATTTCCACATAAAAAGCAGTATCTTCATTATGATTTAATGGGGAAGTTTGGATCAAAAACCAGTTATAATGATGGGATCATGTGACCTAGACTGTGGTGTGCTGGGATGTGGCCACAGGGTCACTCACATTTGCAGTCCTTGTTGTTGACCAGCTGGAAGCCCGGCCGACACTCGCAGGTGACACCGCCCTTCGCGGTTTCCTGGCAGATATGAGCACAGCCGTGGTTCTTGTCCATGCAGTTCAGTCCCTCTGGTTGGAGAGAGAGAGAGAGAGAGAGAGAGACACTTTGCAGGGTCTAAAACTCATTACACTGAACAGACGTGGGGACCCAGACTTAGACACTCAGTGCAAAGCCTCTGGTGTCGGTCTCCCTTGGTTACTCCGAAAGTCGCTTCTGTCAGTGGTGCCTATTTTGAAAACTGCGTGATCCTGCGCTGGGGTGAACATCACCTCCTAAGGAACGCACCTCTCCAAATATCCAAGTGTAGCGTCTCATTTGCAGCCATAACATCATTACCATGTTGAAGAACCTGTCACGGAATTCCAGGATGTCTGAATGGAACAAACCCAGCATCTCAGGATGTTTTGTACACATTTGGTTAATAAGACAATTAAAAAGTTCTTTAGATCCTGCTTGAGGTCTCAAAGAAGGAAGGACAAAGCTGTCGTACAGCCAGCACTGTTATTGTTCACCCACTTCCCAGTACTGTCTCCCACCTGTATAACTTAATGTATTATTTTACACATTTTGAGTCTTCTGATGTCAGATTAAACCACAGTTTTACATTCCTTTTAGCTACGACCCACAGACCCGGCTGAGGTGTAATTATATTATATGGCTATAATATTGGCTACAGAAAATATGTGAATACAACAAAAAAAGCAATAAAAAAAGAGCAAAGTTATTAATATTTAAAAAATTGTCCTATAACATCCATAACCTTCCATATCATTACAGCCTCTGCTTCCCATTCACTCCAGCAGGACTCAGCCCTGACGTTTTACCTAAAGCTGACATGAAAGAACAGTGGCCTTCATCCCATTGTCTGTCTCCTCTGGCAAAGAACAAAGCTGCCCGAGTCTTCGGGATCTGCTTTCTGACAGAATGGCAGAGAAACGGAACATAGATTGCATATGAGGAGACCAGGCTGATGCCGTTCGGCTTTGCAGAATGTGTGCAAGTGTCCAAGCAGTGATATAAAAGGCCCTGATCTGTAGGAGGCGCTATACAGCCAATATGAGAAAAACCAGACGACTATCTATATCCCTACGGATTTTCTAGGACTCCAGCTTGGATTGCAAGGATCATTAACTGTCTTTCATTGCCACCATCTTACCTGGAGCCCTTTCACCATCTCTGCAGGTCCATTCATCAAAATCGATTTGGCGGAAGACCAGGCTCCTCAGGCCTTTGGCCTCCATGGAGGGCAGGAGATGAAGGCTGAAGCAGCCATGCTGTCCTTGCTCTGGGCTCCCTCTCCTCAGCGAAGCAACAACTCATCCTCTATTAAGGTGGCGGCCCAAAGCTCCCGTGTCGGGAAAATTTATCAAGGGATAAAGGAGAATAAGAGCCGCTGTACGGTGTTACTGAGGTCTCACAGGGACTTAGCTGTACGTCCAGAGGCGCCATTTTGAGATTCCCCAACAGGTGCTGAGGCTCATGGGATATGAGAGCCTCCCATTTCCTGTTAGTGCACGGAAAGGCGGTCAAAAGAAGTCCAGCTAAATGACCCCACGAGCATGAAAAAGATATCTCTGTAATAACGGCAGAGACTGCATGTGTAAAAAAGTCACCAAACGCTAACGATGTAAGATGAACTCCAATCGGATCCAAACGATTCACTTCCAAGTCCTTAGTGAGCAGAAAGCCCAGTCATCATGGCCAGTTATTTGGTGTTTTGCACGTGTTCTGATCCAAAGATGAACTTGCTTTTACAGTTTCTACATGCTGCTCATCTTCAGAGAAAGTTGGCATTAGTAACATACAACTAGCATGCTAGCATGCTAATATGCAATAGCTTTACAACTTCCCTGGAGGTGCATCCACTCTGGCGTTTAAATAAACGCTGATAAAAATAAAGCATAATTGCTGCACTCGGTAAACACTTGTCAGCTGTAGCTTGACGGTACAAAAATAACCAGCAGCTGAAACAACACTGATATTTATTTCGCTGAGAGATGCGATCGACCTCGTTAGGAAGGCTAAACCGCCCATTACACAGCCGCTCGGTAACCGCCAACAGTGAAGTCAGACGGCAGAAATATGAAAAGCTGGATGGGTGTTAAGTTAGCGCAGTGCAGGTGGGGGCTACACAGTGGGGGTGGTTGAAGTGGCTCCCCATTGGTTCTGTAATGTGCTCTGGGTGACTTGAATAGTGCAATATAAATGCAACATTCATTCATCATAATTGATCTCTCCATTTTAATCTGCTTCAATCAGTAAGGGTAAGCAGACAGGTTACCAAAAGATTTTTAATGGTGTAGTGCCTTTGAATGGGGTACAATAGCAGGTCAAGGGCGCCGCCCTGCAGGGCATTCAGAGCCTGACAGTGTCGTATGCTCATTTGGTATGGTCCTCTATCTAACAAACATACAGCAACCTCCCAGCATCCCTGTGGAATCCACTAAGGCTATTCTCATGGTAAAAAGGACACAACAAAATTAGGAGGGCATCCCCGATATTATGCAAACTCAGTGCATGTTGCTGCTGATGACATTACACTGAGAAAACAGACCCACCAAAACGGTCATAATGCGTTAATGTTTCGCTCAACCGCCAAGATGATTTTATTTGTATCACAATGCAGCCAGAAAGCCTTGCGACGGGTGTCCTTATCAGCGTCCTGCAGCGCCACTAATATAACCTCAGCCGGCACAATCGGCTTGCCGCGGGTGGAAAAAGCGTGAGCTCTGAGGATCAAAGCGAGGCAGCGGCTGAGTGCTGAGCAGACAGGAGCTGAAGGCCTTTCTTCGGCGACATGCTGAAGTACCTCCCGCACTTCATCACAGTGCTGCCAGATGAAGGAAAGCATTCTGGCCTACAGCAGTCTCCGTCCAGCGCAGAGGAATGGGACTGCTGACTATTGACCTCACTCCACCCCCCCCCCCTCGACCCTAGGAGTGCGGCATCGCGTGCAAACACCACAAGGCCTTTTTCCGCAGGCTGAGGTCGGATTGGGGTCCCTGCCGAGGCTGCGGGAGGACCCTCAAACACACAGAGCCGCCTTGGGCTCTAACGGTTCCTCTGCAGAGCTCCCTACAGCCACCCTTGGTGAGTGTCCCGCAGTCACCACCCCAACCCCCACAAAATAAAACTTAAAAATGTGCCCAAACTACACCGATCGCTGCCAATTCCGGCCTTAAGCAACTACGCTCACATCCTGCTGCACGAAACAAGCCAAATATGTTCAAAACAGCGTTTACTGTTTATAAAGGATTGTTGTTTTTTTTTCTTCATTCCTGCGTTTGCAGTGGAAACATGTCTGATGCCAAGGGCACTCGACAACACGCTTGTTCGTGGGCAAGAGACGCTTGGCGTGGGCCTGGAATAAGGTAAGATGACTGGAGTACTGTTTGGGCACAGAGACAGTAATATCCAGGGTGATTTTCCACCTGGGATTGGTGACCTGTGGCTGTGCATGTTCTACCCTGAAACACCTGTACAGCGGGGGCCCCGTCCGTCACACGCATCCCCCCGTCTCCCGGTGCTCTGGGAAAAAAATGGCAGGTCAAAGCTAGCAACATTTATATCGTGACATTTGCTGAAAAAATCTGTGACGTTAAGAATTACACCTTGGTAGCACATTACCATGGCAATGCCAACAATTTGCATGCACTCCAGCTGAGGGGCACAAGGCAAATTTAAAATGTCCTCTTAATTCTTCTTTTTTAAAATGGTATCCGACATATGTGGGTCACATATATTTTACATTGTGGGGACCAAACGTCCCCACGATGTGATAAAAACCTGTTATTTTGATGTTGTGGGAACCATTTTTTAATGTTTTAAAAATCAGTGACTGCAATCAAAAAATTAAAAATGGCAAAAGTCTTGCATTTTGCTTATGTTTAAGATTAGGGCTGGGTAGGGGTTAAGGTCGTCATGGAACCAAACGATGTTTTTACCCATAGAAATGAATTGAGAGTCCCCATAAAGATATGAATACTAACATGTATAAGTGTGTGTGTGTGTGTGTGTGTGTGTGTGTGTCTCTTTAAGAGTCACTGCCACAGAGGGCCAAGCAGGACGCCACCTGGCAATGCCTCGCCGTCTCCCAGCGTGTCCGCCACGCCCGCTCAGCACCCGAGAATCATGTAACGCTAGTGTCATGCTGAGGAACCGTCATGCTTCTCGTTCTCAAACGATCCAGCAGAACAGCTCCCCAGGTCAGGCACGGACTCTACGGTTTAACTTCAGCATCAATGGTTGTAATAACACATAAAAATAAATAAAATATAAGGATGGCCGGTGAACCAGTAGAGCAACTGCAAGGCTCAAAGGGATCCCCTCATGTATCTGATCGCCGCTGAAAAAGTGAAGGCTTTCTGCTTGCACATTACGCGGTAGGGCATCACCATGGCAATGCTGATTCTCCCAGGGACCAGCCTTATTTTGTTTGCCCATATTTTATTCCAGCCAGAAAGTAAAAAGTGCCTGAAGAATGTCCTTTTCCCTTCAGCGGTGACACTCAACATAAGTGGTTCTTTTTTCTTCTTTCAAACTCCTGTCGGCAAAATGAGTGTAAATTTACAAGGGCTCTTCGGCAAGGAGACTCCTCGGAAAACCCTTGGTATCAAACTATTATGGTTACCTTGCGTTCTTGAACAGAAACAGAACAGCTAGATCTGGTAATGAGCCGTGGGATGTCCGTCCTGACCATCGGCGTAACAATTGTTACCTCCTACGATTGTTGCTGTAACGATTGTTGCCACGTGCCTTTACCACGGTAGCCAGTCGCTTGAGGGGATCCCTTTGATCGTACAGAAAGGTGCTGGATTTCCTTCCTCTGAGCATCAGAGAATAGCTAGCGAGCGATGCCAGCGACAAGGAGCCCCTGGAATGGCGCTGTGCTGAAGGGAGCTGCCACCTTTGTTAGGAAGGCTGCTTCTCCCAGAGCCCGCGGGCATTCGGCTCATTGGGAACAAAGTCAGCGCTCTTCCAGCAACTTGTCACCACGTTGCCATGGATATGCTAATCTGAGGCACCTTCCATGCTTAACACCAAACACGGGCACATACGTACCCGGCTTGTAGGGCGATGCTATTCATGTTGATGTAGATGTTAACGTAAAGTCTGGGCCTGGTTTTCACGAGACAGATGATGAAATCTTCCCAATAAATTCCGAGGTTAAATTCACTTGCCGAGTGTTTTAATTAACCTTAAAAAAGAAAAACTAATAGCAGATACATTGTGGAAGTAGAGCATTTTGACAAAAAAAGAAAACTTGAACATCATGGTACAGAAAAGAGTTTCATTCAAAGCTTCCATCTTACATTAATGGTGCAATAGTGCATCTGTTAACAGGTTTACTGGCTGTATATAAATCAATTAACTATCACTATTTCACAGATATGGGACGACTATTTTAGGAGAATGGTGTTATTCATCTGAAAAATAATATAATCTGGTTCATCAAGACATTACACATAGCCAGTTTAAAGGTAATCGTATGAATATGGGGCAAAAGTGACTCTGATCACCCCAGATGCATGAAAAGATGTTACTAATCATAAATGTTACTATGTCTGGAGATTAGCAAGTGCTGAGATGACTTCTTATGGGTTTCTAGTGATGGAAGTTCACCAGGAATGGAGAATGCCAATCAGAGAGTTTATTATAGTAACAAAATGTAGATGCTGCCAGCCTGATATCCCCGGGTATGCAGAGGATGCATGAGGACCATATTCTTCAGCTTTCATGGTTAATGAATCATCTGCTTGGCTCAACTGGAGATACTCTGTCAAACATTTTTGTCCATGTTGTTGAATCTAATGGCCTCTTTATGCATGTTTTTTTTTTCTGAAGTTAAGGACTTCAAAAAGTCAATTCTCCTTGTCACTGACTTCACATGTGTTGTATGAGAAGAAGGTGATTACAGCCTAAGAGTAAAGTTCAGACTTTGTTTTGTGGACTGGAAGTATCCCAGGGCAAGCGGCGAACTTTGAGAAAAACACCTAACCACCAAACATAATGAACCTTGTTAACTACTTCACTCTTGCCAGTGGAGAAAAATATTTCAAGTCAGTGGTGAAGTACCCAGTAGACACAATAATAGACATCACCTATAGGCATTTTCTTCAATGGAAAAGCCCAAACTGTTTTTCCATTGTGTTAGCAAAACATTTTCCTTTAGCTCAACTTAACCACTGGGAAGGTGAAGACAATGGTAGCAAAAACATGACAAACATCCCTCAGAACAACATGCACCCCCTTTGACTCAGCTGCACACGGACGCTCTTTGTTGAGCCCCCAAGAGTCATGATTTAGATTTAGCCCTGGGCACTTAAGCTACTGAGGACGGAGGATTTGGACAGCACTGAGAGTCTGGTGTTGCCGTTTTACCTTTGGGCCTCTGGATGCAGGTGTGCTGGTTGTCACTCAAGAAGAAGCCCTCGCGACACCGGCACTCGTAGCTGCCCATCATGTTCACACAGACCTGCTGGCAGCCGCCGTTACCCTCCGAGCACTCGTCCACATCTGCAATCACAAAGACACACGCGTATGCATGCGTTAGCCCAATTCTCCACTCTACCCCTACGGCGTCTCTGCCGCATGTTAGCATCCGTTTGTCTATGGCGATGCTTTTTCCTGCCATTTATTTGTCGCGTTATCATTGGCTGCTATGATTATTGTTTCGTTTCATGTTTGTTGGCCATGACGGGCTGCAGGAAGCACTCGAGCAAGCGTTTGATTGTGCTATGTACACACGCCAGTAGACCTTGTTTCACTGGCCAGGAGATTAAAACCGAAGCGGTGGAATCACATTCAGGCAAGACCATGTTTTAGTTACATATTTCTGTGTTCGTCCAAATTTAATAATGATTAAAAAAAAAAAAACAGGAAAACTGCTTCGGTTATTTCAAAATGTTACAATGGTACCGTCACAGTACAGGTCTCTGCTCAAGTACCTTACAAACACCTTGTGAGTCATTCCAATTCCCGGCCACATGAATTGCACAACGCCCACGGATCCTACCTACTGCTTTGCTTCATAGCAGAGCAGACACTAACTGTGCAGCCCATCTCGGATTTGGACCTGTAGCCTCCTCTGACACCCTTAGTGAAAGAAAAACCATTTGAACAAAAGTTACATGAGGGTAATCAAGCTCTTGTTCCAGTCATGCTATAATCCCATTTTATGTCCCCCAGCCCTGGTTCAACATCGGCAATGGTGAAGATGAAAAACCAGTCAAGTCTACAGGTGCCATCCTAAGCCCAAAAGGCATTAATCATCAGTCAAAAAATACCAGTGGCAATATTAGTTGTGCACTTTCAGAACAAATTAAGGTTTAGGTTAGAAACCTGCTTTCCAAATTTAATGTTTTCCTCTCACTTTGTTTCTTTGAGACTTTTAATACCTTCCTTACAGTAGGCAGAAACAGCAAGAGATGTCAGAGCCCAGGAAGGTGATCTGAGATTGATTTTGCTTCCCTTTATCCCACAGAAAGAGTCCATTACTCTAGTCATGTAGATGATCTGTGATCTATTGTATTTCCTTTTGTCCAAAAAACAGAGTTCAGTACTCCAAGTTTGGAGGGTTATCTGAGATTGATTGTACTTCCTTTTGTCACACTAACCAAGGTCAGCACTCCAATTTGGAGAGGAATCTGAAATTGATAATGTTTCCTTATACCACAATAGGCAAGGTCGGCGCTATAGTTGATACGATGATAGCATTGTAGCCATGAAGCCATGTGCTTTAGGACACTGAACAAAACCACATCATGTAACCACTTATTCATTAGTGCTGTCGTTCTTGAGCCTTTCATTATTTCATTTCATATCCTGTAACGAATAACAAGTATCTTTTGGAGTCTCATTTCTTCAGCTATTCAGAATTTAGTTTCATTTGGTATTCAGAGTAATGTTTCAGCCATTGAGCTTTTGTTCATGTTTGATTTGCCCATAAAACATGTCACGCTAAAGGTGAAAATCAGAATCAATTCTGAGACAATACTCTTTTAAATTTGCTCATTTAAAGCAAGTTAAACAAAGTTTTAAATTGGGTTGCAAGCCTGTTCACAGTGGCTGATTAGCTGATTTGGAACAATGGTTCAACCCAGTCTTCATTACAGTACTTTGACAAAATAAAAATCTACTCCACTGTGCTTCATAAGGACCCCAGGCTCCACTTTCCCATTTACTTCCTTTACCATCCTTCTTGTCATGAGCTGCAGAGTCAGACTGATTCCCTGAATTTGCCTGGTCTTAGGAAGCTAAGAAAGGATCCATCCATTTTCTGTAGCTGCTTATTCCATTCAGGGTTGCGGGCAGGAACCTATGGGCACAAGGCAGGGAACAACCCAGGATGGGGCGCCAACCCATCGCAGGGCACAGTCACACACCATTCACTCACACATGCACACCTACGGGCATTTTCATAACTCCGATTATCTTCAGCTTGTTTTTAGACTGTGGGGGTAAAATGCAGAACCGGGAGGAGTCCCGATGATGACACAGGGAGAGCATGTAAACTCCATACACATGGAATGGCAGCAGAGACTCGAACCCGGGTCCCTGAGGTGTGAGGCAACAGTGCTAACCACTGCACTGCCCCGCTAAGAAACTATAACCTGACTAAATCTTCAGCTCAGCAAGATTTGTAATAACCCATTTATCCATCCATTCTCTATACCCAGTTGCTCTATTCAGGGTCATGGGGGTGCAGAACCTATCCCAGAAGCTACGGGTGGAAGGCAGGAAAATAACCCTGGATGGGGTGGATTTTAAATTATATTATTAATATATACAGACTAAGAGACTGACAAGGTAAACACTTACACACAGTCCGATAAACAGAGTACTATATGAAATACACACACATAGGATGTGTTTTTCATCTATGACTTTCAATTCCATCCTTAATGGGAAAATTACACTCAGTCTCCTCTAGTGGCAGCAGCTGTACAGTGGTGGCCCAAGGGGGAACATGCATTACTCATAAAACAAACGTTCCCAGTAATCACAGGTTGGGTCCAACAACCACAAGTTCACCAAGACTAATGCAGTCTATGCCATGAGCGGTGGAACGCAATTAGCTGGGGGAGATAACACAGTTCACCATGCCCTGCACATTAGTGACCCCTAGTGAAAGGTTGGACTGTTGCAGTTTTGCTGGGATACCATAAACTTTATGGTGAAACTGGGAGAAGGGCTCTTCTGGGTGTTCAAGATGACTAGAGAGGCTTGGCGATGGTCTGACCAAACTTGACAGATTGACCACCTAAAATTTAACCCCAAAGAGTAGCAGTGCGATGCTCCAGGTGTACCTACAGAGGGGAGGGGGTCTCTCATTTCCCGCTCTCCAGGTGCTTTGTCATCAGGCCATGTAAACAGGCACAAACAGTCCTGGCAAAAGGCTGGCAGTGATGCAGAAAACAAGGCCCTCCGGCAAGGAGAGTGTGGGGGGGGGGGATCTCAACTAAATCAAGACAAGTGTAGCATTGCTCACAGAAGGAAGGCTGGTAAGACCAGTTATATGCCGTAATCTACTTCCTGTTGACTGCTTTTACTGGATCCCCTTTTGGTTAAACCAGACTGTTAATTACACAGCACAGGCAAACCCCAAAGCTTATCTGAGCCATCCTTCAGTACCTCTAATTCCCCAAGCCCGTCCACAAACATGGCACCAGGTAGGACGCTTTTGTCCCCAAACAAAACATGGCACGTAGCTTACAGGGCAAAGCAACATCACGACCGAAGGATGCTGTTCTCCATGTCTGACCTGATACCACGAGTGGAAATATAAAAATAAAGGCCTTTCCCGAGAAAAACATCTCCTCAGTTTCCCTAAACATTTACTAACAAGAGCCTTGTTTGCAGCCCTCGTGCGCTGTCATAGAAAGTAAACAATGCGGAGTAATATTTGCCATTTTTGCTGGGAAACTTCCTCGTCCGTGATGAGCTGCCTGGTCCACCCGCAGCACGAAGCCACACGCTCAGAATTGCTGACAAACATAACACACAAGAAAGCTGTAATTGCACCTTCAATTTTTCCTGCTCTTCAGGGCTATAGCAATGAAATCCTTGCCTTTACTCAAGTGTTCATCAAAGGAGTGTAGCCCTGGAATGATACCATTCAACAGAAAGCTATCAAGGGATGTCTAAGCCTGGAAATAAATAAATAAATAAATAGAGAGAGAGAGAGAGAGAGAGAGAGAGAGAGTCATCCTAGTGACAGGATTTGGAATGGAATATTCAGTGTTGTTGATATTGATAAGCACTTCTATCAGAAAGCACGGGAGGATTTCACTGTTGAAAGTATTATATTAGTCTCTGAGATAACAAGAAGGAGTGGGGAGGAGTGGGGGGGGGAGGGTTTAAGGTAAACAAGCAGAAGAAAAGTTATTAAAAACGCAGTGGTCACTGAAGCAGGTTTAACCGGAATTGCACTGACTCATTCTTCTTCCGAGAAGTGGGACCTATGCCTGAGTAAACCTCAAACAAGCATTATTGTTTGGAGCTTAATCTTCAAGGACAGAGATTCTGCCAGGATTGCGTGAGACCAGGAGACGGGGGGGCTCAGATTGTGTCTTGCAGACAATGGGTTGAGAGCCGGCAGCCTGCTCTCTGCCTGCTTCAAATAACCGTTTTTGGACAACGCGATCCATAAATTTCTGTGATAAATGAACCTTGTTAATGTCATCTTGGCCGCCTTAGATGTTTCCCGAAGGACCCCAGATGCTGGATTGGGGTGCCAAGTGTTCATTTTTTGTTAACAGGTCAGAGCACGAGGCGAACTCAGTACCAGCTCAGAACAGGACAAGAAGAATGAGAGTTTTCATAACTCGTTCTCATGTATCTGAGACCTGTCAAGACATAAAGTTCACCTGGCAATCAGATTTAAAGCCTTTCAGCTCCTATCCACCACAACAGTGCATTTCTTGGCCAATGTGACCAATGTGTTCTGGGGTCATTTCAGTCTGATTAACAATATTGCAAACGTGATGCATTGATACTTACACTATGTTTAAATTGCTAGCTGACTGGCCACGTGTCAGGATTGGTGCCCATCTGGCCCTGTCCCATGTGTTTTCTCCCCATTTGGCCAGCAGTTCCCACTGGCCATCCCGTTTCGTGTTCCCCGAGTGTGTTTCCCTGTTTCCTGGGTTGCCACATCGCTCAATGGGTTGACTATATGGTTCAGAGGCTGAGGTCCCTCTGGCAATAAGTCTGAGGTTGCCTAACTTTCATGTTATGTTTTGGTTTTATTTTATCCCCTCGTGTCTGTATGGTATTTTGTCTTGTTAATGGTTACCCTGCCTGTACCTTGTTTAGTTATGTTCTTTTTGTCTGTGTTCCTAGATTCCTCTTAGTGCTGTCATCCCTCTGTAGTTGTTAATGCTTGTTTGTAGCTGTACTGTCTCCTTGTCTTGCTTCATGCTTCTTAGCCATAGTTATCCCATGTTTGTAGTTTCATGTGTTTCGTAGCTGCCCTTGCTTTTGTTGTTCCTGGTGTTGCTCCCTGCCTTAGTTTAGTTTTGACCCCTCACAGTCCCTTTTATTTTTTGGTTCCCGCTTTGTGCTCTTTTGAGTTTAATAAAGTCTTCTGTTTGTTGGAGCCCCTCCGTGAATCGTTCCTTCTTCATGATGTCCCGCTGTAACACCACGCTGATCCGGAGATGACTAGAGATTCACCTCCTCTGCCCTGGCTCCCAGCCCACAGTGGCGATCCTCCATAAAACCATCTGATAAGTATCCTGGTGTGACCTGGCTCTATTACTACCCTTAATCTCTTGACATTGATAGGGCGATTCACCATCCACGGGAGCAGGAGTTACACAGCAAAGCATGGGTCTGTCCCTTTTAACATCAGCACATGATAGCACCCTGTCACACTTGGTGAGGAAGCTCTGCTTCATCAGAAAAATGAGGAGGCTGCTGGTGAGAACCCAAATAGGACCTGTCAACAGCCCACCTTGCTTTCTTGGATCATCTGAAATCTGTGAATGTCCATTACTGTACGGCAATCCACTAAACACAAAAGCAGACTTTTTAAATGTGATTAATGCTCCAGTTTCCACGGCTCTTAGGGCTGCCTTTGGCATATTCATCTCCCCGAGTTGCCATGATGCTCTTGTATAAATCTCCTTTGAAGCTTGAATCCAGGGAAGGCAGGTGACCGACTGTTACTCATTCTTAGAGATGGTAAATGACAGGAAGTAACAATTGACATTTTTACAGGAAAACTATTCCACTTCAGGCCCTGCAGCACTTGGGACCCAGAAATGTATGACGGCTAAAGCTACATGGATGGAGTTTGGTTTGTTTTTTTGGCTCTCAATTGTATTTTTATTCCACAAACAAGTTCTGCTGGATTGACCTCTAACTGAATCATTTTTCAACTCAGAACTATAGAGGTTTTGCCCATATCAGACCAAATCTGGAATTAAAATATTGTCTCCATTCCATATAGTGCTGCTATTATCTATGTGACCCTCCCATCAAAGACCATAACTGTTCCAATTAAGGAACCACGACAGCAATATCTCTGTTAAGGAGCATTTCCACTGAAGATCAGACCACCATCATTCCAGGCAAGGAACCACAACAGCAACATCTCTGTTAAGGAGCAGACCACTATCATTTCCACTGAAGATCAGACCACCATCATTTCAGGTAAGGAACCGCAACAGCAACATTTCTGTTACGGAGCAGACCACCATCATCTCAACTTTCGATCAGACGACCATCATTCCAAGGGAAAAGCGGGCCAGCACTGTCTCTAGTAAAGAGTGGACCACCATCATCTGTGATAAAGCACCCGATGACCATGTGCGTGCCACAGATCCAGAGTCCACACACATGGATACACTTCCACGGTAGCACATGCACACACAGCTGAAAAAGATATTCCAGACCTTGAAGTGCAAAAGCCCCGAGGGAGGCCATATTGGCTCCGAAGCTGAACCGCTCTAGTAAAACATCCTGCTTTGTAAAAGACACAAGTGCAAGTAAATGACCTTTCTTGTGGAATTCAGACTACGGAAGTGTATAGGCTTCAAAACAATCATAGCGGGATTTTGAGACTGTGTGCTGCATTAGAACATTGAAAGCGTTTCCTGTCAGGCAGACTGCGAGGGCACCTCAGGTCAGGATGAGCGTGGCACGGGGACCTGGCAGCAGTAAATGGCTTCATTAGCAGCTTTGCCCTTTCAAAGAGAGACGGAGACATGGGTGCAGCCAGCGCAACAGACATGAAAACACCACAATATACCTTAAAATTGGCTGACAAAAAAAAAAAAAACAAGAAAATAATCAAGATGGGCCTGACGCTTTGGCCCAAATGAGGAATCAGAGGAGTTACAGGTCTGGAGCTTTGGAGGCTAAATGAAACAGAACTGTCAGGTTAGAGAAGAACAAGGGGAAGGTGAAGCGAATCAATAGGGTTAATTGCAGTCACCTGCTTCACTCCCAAGGCAGCCGGTGGCGATGCACCTGCCCACACAGGCATAAACAGAGAAGTACATACAAGGACACACTGAATGACTCACATACACCAGTATAATATAATACTGCAGAAAGCAGACGGGCATTAAAGGGCAATAGGGTGTTACAGACACAGTGCTGATTACCTGAAGCGTGCATAAACCACAATGCACGTAACGTAGTGCTGAAACTCATAGCCTTGTATTCGGAAGGTTCAAATCCTAGGAGGTGGGCAACCTTGTTCTCATATCTGTTAGCAAGCCAATTAATGGAAACTGCTTATGTTTGTTTTGATGATCAGAAGGTCACAGGTTTGAGTCCCAGGCCTGCAGATTGATGCTGCCGTTGGGCTCCTGAATAAGGTTCTTGGGCTCCTGAGTAAGGTTCTTGGGCCCCTTAGTAAGGCTCTGAGCCCCCAGTTGCTTCCGGGATGCTGGATGCTGGCTGACCCTGTACTGTGACTCCCCAAACTAGCTCTCACCTGTATCTGTGTCTTGCAGAGCACAAAATGGGACGAGTGAGAAGACAATTTCCCCATGGGGAAGAATAAAGTATCACTATTTTATGCTAAAAAGCCTTTCTGTGTAGTCCTCTTTGATAAAGGAGTCAGCTGAGCCGCTGCAAATGCGGAAACATATTCCTGTATAGGGGTATGTGTTACAGTGAAACAATTTTTTCTTAATACTATTATTATTTTATGTTTCTTGAAGTGTCTGCGCGTGCTCAAGAACAAAGTAGCTCACTTGCTTTTATTTTTAGCTCGCTGCAATATGATGCATTATTTATTCAAAGACAAGATTTTCAAACACGGCACAAAGAAAACATGAACAAGAATTGTTTGCGATCATTCATTACGGCTGATTAATAAAAGTGAGAGAATCGGGAGGGGCTGGAGGCAGTAGGGTTTGAGATTATAATCCACTGGGTGCGGAAGGGTGGGGGAGGAGCAGGTCTAGCTATAAACTCAGACTGAGCCATCAATGAACACGGAGACCGACCAACCAGGACTCCATCTACCATGCTCACGGACCAGATCGATCTTTACAACTTCGTCATTTTTCACGTCGTCAGAACCCGCCCAGGTGGACCACTGACAGTTCTCGTCCCCACCTGAACGTCACGTAATTTTCGATCCCTTCTCCGTTATTTAATTGTAACGGTGCCATGCTGACATTGACACCTCATTTCCTGAGAGAGGGAGGAACAAGCCGAATGAAAATTCCCGTGAGGAATGCTTAATGAGAACAGACAGGCTGCATATATTCAGAGTCGCAAACTCAACCAACACGTGGGAAGCCGGGGGCGGAAATTATGATACTCAATGTACTTATTTAGCAGACGAATTATCCAAGGCGACGCGCAACTGTGCAACAAGGGTCAGACGATCCCTGAAGCAGCTGGGGAATAAGGTTCTCAGTCAGCGGCCCAACAGTGTAAAGCACTCTCCCCACCATGGGATTTGAAGCAGTGACCTACCAGTCACAGACACTGGGTCCTAACCCATAGAGCCGAACACCGGCATAACAAATTATCGACCACTTCACGGATTTGCACGTCATCCTTGTTGCAGGCCATGATAATCTTCCCTGTGTCATTTCAATTTTAACATCTGGGTAGCCACAGCAAGCCAGCCATTGTACCCCAAGACCCTGGAGGAGGAAGGCTGCGGTGCTGCCTGCAGAGTCACCACACTTCCTTAACTTTAAAGTTTAAGTTTTAATTTAATTTGTTTTATCCTGCTGATTCGTGTCAGTTTTGCTCTGCGAACGCTTTGGCTGATAGAAGCTGGAAAACATAAAAGTGCAGAGAAAGAAAGACAGTGAGAGAAAAAGGAGGGAGAGAGGGGGAGAAGATGAGAAAGACCATTGACAGATGAAGGTAATGGTGATTGGGCACTATAATAAATTACAGCCCTCGTTGCAATAACAGCCGATTTGTAGTTTAATCATTTGCCACTTCCAGCTCTCTCTATGCTACAATGTTATCTAAATCAGTTGGATAAAGAAGGAGCAACTGGCCTCAGAGATGAGTAAGAATAATGAAAATTCAGACAGACAGATAGGGAGGGGAAGACCGGGCTAAGCAGACTTATCTCAGTTACCCTGGTTCATAGGCAAAGTCATCAGAAAATCACTTTTCCAATATCGCAATAAAAAAGAAGCAGCTCTTTACCTGATCTGAATGATTTCTCTGTATGTGGTAATGGGGGCTGAAAACTGAAAGTATATGCGATTCTGTGTTTTCCCTCTCAGGTTTCCGGCAGCTGCTCCGATGAGAGTTTGCATTAATGACCAAGTTTCTACTCCCGGTACGGCAAAGGTGGGGGGTGCAAGTCACATGCAACAACTATACAGACCTATGCAGAGCCCGCGTGCAAGTGTACAATACAGAACTGTTACTCATGTACACCAGCCACTACAAAGCTGTACGCAAGGATTTTGGTCTGAAGACTTGCACTTTTTTACATGGTTCATCCTGCAAAGTCAGTGCTTCAAAGTGCTTCAAAGTCAGTTAAAGAAGTTTTTTTTTATTTTTTTTTTACTGGGGGAGGAAAAGAGAAAAAAGGGCCAGACCTGACAGGAAACTGGCCGATTCCCAGCCGAGGTTTTGTTAATGAAATTCAAATACTACTGTAACACTGCTCATTAAGAAAGCCCCATTGATTACTAAGTAAGGCTTTTGTTTCAGACAGATCCTAATTAAACAACAGGATGTATTATTCCTGAAAAAATAGGGAGGGAATTTCAGCAAGCGACCTTGCTGAACATGATCCGCTGTGTTACTCTGAAAAACTCTGGGCTTGAGGGTCATTCTGACCTTAGACCAAAGCTTGAGGGATAAAGTTTAAAGGACTCTTTTGATAAGCAATAAAAACAAGTTTGCCGAGATTGGGGGGGGATATGGGGGGGTGGGGGAGGCTTCTGTGGGAGGTTCCCCAGGGTCTGGAGCTTCTTGGCAATGGTTTGGAAAATTAAAAAGAAGCGAGAAACACTTTTCGTTGCTAATGGTGCATTTTTCTCAGGAGTATTTACAGGCAAATGTCAAGGAATGAGCTGATGCTTGCAAGTGAATGTGAATGACCATAAATGGGATGCCCTGAGAACCCAGTAAGTTTCCTCATTGGCTAGTTCCTTGCATCCCTCGCTGACGTGATGCCCCCCCCCCGCAGCTCACCCAGGCAATTGTGTCCATCGTGCGCCAGCCGGAAGCCGTCATAGCAGGTGCAGCGATAGTTGCCCGGGATGTTGATGCACTCATGCACGCAGCTGCCGTTGTACTCGACGCCGCACTCGTTAATGTCTGTAGTGGGGGACACAGGAATAAAAATGTCACATTGCAGCCAACCCAACACAGATTGCAACCAAAAACTAAAACATGAACATACCTCCCTGCAGCTAATTAATTAAGCACCAAGATTTGTTTGTACGCTAAAGTTATATAAACAAGCAAAGCCACGCATATGCATCCATCTTCCTGCTGTTTAGAAAGGTTTGCCCAGGGCAGAAGACAAGAGCCTGGAGGCCGTCCCCAGGGCAGAAGACACGAGCCTGGAGGCTGTCCCCAGGGCAGTAGACACGAGCCTGTAGGCTGTCCCCAGGGCAGGGGACATGAGCCTGGAGGCTGTCCCCAGGGCAGGGGACACGAGCCTGGAAGCTGTCCCCAGGGCAGTGGGCACGAGCCTGAAGGCAGTCCCCAGGGCAGGGGACACGAGCCTGGAGGCTGTCCCCAGGGCAGGGGACACGAGCCTGGAGGCTGTCCCCAGGGCAGTGGACACGAGCCTGAAGGCTGTCCCCAGGGCAGGGGACACGAGCCTGGAGGCTGTCCCCAGGGCAGAAGACAAGAGCCTGGAGGCCGTCCCCAGGGCAGAAGACAAGAGCCTGGAGGCTGTCCCCAGGGCAGGGGACACGAGCCTGGAGGCTGTCCCCAGGGCAGAAGACAAGAGCCTGGAGGCTCTCCCCAGGGCAGTAGACACGAGCCTGGAGGCTGTCCCCAGGGCAGAAGACATGATGATGATTTTAAGTTCTCATTTTCCATCCATCCAACCACTTATCCTGGTGAGGGAAAAGCCTACCGGCTGTCCCTGGCAGCACAGGGAACAAGAATCAAATACATCCTGGGTCAGATGGCTGTGGGCACACGGGCAATTCAGAGACTGCCTAAGTGCCGGTCTTAAGACAGCAGGAGGAATACCACACAGCACAGAGGGCATGTGGAATCTCCACACGCACACAGAATGGGTGGGGTTCATGTACCACGCATTACACTGCATTATTCCCATCCAGGGAATTCCTGCGACAGACTGCAGGCTCAACACAACCACTGACTAGATACTGTAAGTAGTTGGAAACCATATGGATTATCACTAATTAGTACTGGTTACATTGGTAGTAACGAAGCTGTTGGTTTCAGTAGTGCTGTTTTGAGAAATTGTTTCAGTACACAAACATACTGCATTATGATCCATGTTTATGTAAGTAGGAGTCTTCTGGGGTAAACCTTTATACTTAACTATCACTCCCCATTCATGCTATACGAGTGGTATATACAGTGGAACCTCGGATTACGAGTAACGCGATTTACGAGTGTTCCGCAAGACAAGCAAAGATTTTTAATAAATTTTGACTTGGAAACCGAGCAAGTCCTGGTTTACGAACGCCAAGTATCATCAAAAATCAGATTGGCACACATGCGCTCCTTGTTTTTCTTGTTTTGACACCAAGCGCACGTCATCACAACTGAACCAATGGTTATTCACTTTCTCACACTGTGGAATTGTGGGTAATCATCTCCCATGTTCGGTCTCAGTCGGCATGCCTCACTCGTATAGTCAAAATTTAGTAGAAAAGCACCACCTGAATAAGGGCGTAGCAGTGCGAGCGATGAATCTGTTTAACGGCAATACAATATCCACATTTTTGCGAAATCGAAAAGGAGGCAAAAGAGGCTGTCATTGGATGGGTTCCTTGTTAAAGTCGCATAAACAGAAAAAGATTCCAGTGAGCCAACAGATAGCAGTGATTCCATTAATTATAGTGAAAGTCGTCCTATAAAATAACCCTCCTCTTCTCCTCTCTCGTCTCCCTCACACCATCCACGATTCTTTTCAAAGGTAAAGCGCAGTTTAATTTGTTTTATGTATTTTTACTTTATATTTTGTATTAATATACAGCAAATTATATTTTTGAGTTGTGGAACGGATCATATGAGTTTCCATTATTTCTAATGGGAAAATTCGCTTTGATATACGAGTGCTTTGGATTACAAGCATGTTTCCGGAACGAATTATGCTCGTAAACCAAGGTACCACTGTATATGTTTCACTCATTTAACGTATCTTAATGGTGGTGTGAGGAGCTGTAAAACTGGGGGGACGGAAGATACACAGATTAATATGCTATCAGTTTGGTGGGATGCGCTCACAGGTAAGGATCAAAGCTGGAATGACCAAAGCCATCCAGTTACACGTGAAACGGAAGATTATGCAGACTTAAATCCCATCTCGGCAAAGGCCGGGTGGGGGGGCGCGATGGGGTGGTTTCCGAATCAGAAATGTTCTTATTTGCAATGCAAACCTAGGCGAAGACAAACTGCAAGGACAAGGGGATGACTGCAGGAAGTAAACTTGGCAAATCTCGGATGTAAAGTTTTAAATTAGAGATAAAACAATTCAATCTACGTCTAAAGGCACAGAAAGGATGTGAGATGGTGGGGGTGGGGGGGGGCTGGACACAATAAGTGAATCAGTTTGAAAGAAACGGACCAGAACCAGGCAATAGGTAGAAGTCAACGCAGAACCACCGCCGGAGGTCCTGCAGGCTGTTTGTGGGGTTATGACCCGCTATAACAGGGAACGGTCAATCGACCAAAACAATCTATTCCCTCCCCTGAACAAAGGCAGAAAAAAAATCACCAGCCAGGATAATCTCCCCCCAAATTGCTCTTCTTTTTCCCCGCAACCCCGAAACCATTTAATTGGAACTCATATCACAGCAAGTGACTTTAGGCCCTGGGAGTCGGTATTTTGATTGACCGCCCCACCCCCCGCCCGCCCCCCCACAAAGTAACACAGAATGCACACTCGTCCAGAGGGCAGAGTGACCTGGATTGGACCTCCTTCTGTGTCCACTACGGCATGGTCTCACTGATATAGAGAGGCCTGTTAGCTTCCAGTCGCCCGGGGGGGGGGGGCAATGGGAGATAGATTGCCCTTGATCCAGCTGGATCACACCCCAGTCTCCACACAGCCAGGTAGCGGGCTTAGGTGGGACCTGGCAGGACTCGCAGATTTGCTAAAAGTATTGATTTGGGATGTTCAGGCCATACTCAGAAATGCCAGCTTCAAGCCAACTGGATGGTAGGATCCCCATTGCAGCCACTTACAAATCTTTGTCGTCCGAACTCCCCAAGGAGAAGCCCATGCGGAGACCCACATCCCTCTGTTTTCTGCTGCTCTCTCTGCATGTTATCCCTGCGCTCATAAAACAGTTTGCCAACAGTGAATGTCTCATTTTATTTAGACTGAGCCAGCTCAGTTGAGAGTGGGATTTATTTCTGTCGCATTTTACCACAGAGAAAAAAAATATGCGAACTCGGCAAGGTGACGCGTGACATTCCATTTTACCGTCTGGCTTTAACTCTCTTACAGCTCTGCTCACTCTACAATGGAGAATTTAGGGTCCCATCTTAAATGTCAACTTTGAAATGGAAAAAGTTCCATGTTAAAAAAAAAATGATGTCGCAGATGACTCAAACTGTGATGCTAAATGTCTAGTTTGAATCGATCGGGATTCAGCACCTTTGACAGCTGAAGAATCTCTGCTGGAAGAGTCACACTGCAAAGCTTCCCCAAAAATCAGGTGAAGATCCAGGTAATGGAAAATTAACCGCAAACAAACAAACAGCCACATCTCCCGAGGTCTTTCCATCCATCCAGCATATACTTTCCATAACTCTTTATCGAGGACAAGGTCACAATGTGCCTGCAGCCGATCCCAGGAAGCCAGTCTATCGCAAAGGACAGGCCACTGGGGTTTTTCAAGCGCTTTACCACCTTAAGGCACACAGACATTGTTTCTGAGGAAATTGTTGGTTTTGTATCATCAATAATGGGATACTGATGATCCGTGGGGTGCAAAATGGGAACGGGCCCAATTTATGCTTCCAGGTCCTGGTTGGCCAGGGTCTGGCAGGAGCCGATGTGCTTTTGGGCAGACACCCCTTCAATGGCAGGTGAACCCCGCCCCCCCAACTCCCAGAGGGCCTCTGCATCCCATCCACTAAGCAAAGGCACATTTTCCCTTCTTTATGCAGAGCTTAAAATTGATTATGCATTTACTCTGCCCTGCCCATCTGATCTGGTGTTGAGACTATCCTCAATAAGGAGCGTGGAAGATACCATAGGCATACAGCATTGTGGGGATGCAAGGGCATTGGGTGCAACCTGTTTGCACCATAAATGGTTCGATCCAAATAAGTGCATTTGGAATTAAAGGAATGTTTAGATTTGTACTGTTTGGAAGTGGAAGTGAGACTAAAGGTGATAACTTAGGATGTAGACGTGCAAGTATTATGAGACAACTTTGATGGATAGCTGGTGCATATGTACAGTTTCTGATGGAGTGGCTTTGAATAAGCTCATTAAACAGCGTCGTCTTTTCTTTACATATTCAGCTAATGAAGTTAAGTGCCTTTCCACTTCCAGAAAACATAACCCATGCTTTTTAAATAGCTATTAAGACACAAGAATCAGACACATTCGCCTTATGGCAGTCATGTCCAGTGACACAAACATGTGCATGGCATTTATTTCGAATTTTTTTTATCTGGACACAAAGAGTTCAGGTCCGGTCCTTTTTCCTCCCCCAAGGCGATCTTGCTGATAAATGTGCAGGATTGGGGTGTTATTTTGGATTTATGCCCCTGGGGGGGGTACACATAGTGATGTCGGGATGCAGGAGCGGTTATCTGTTATCTTATTGACTGAGGATTATGTCATGTGGTGAACTGAGACTCATTAGCAGACATCAGAGGGGGGTAGCAGTGATTCTGTGCTTGGGGACTTGCCCTTATGTTCAGGGCCCTGCAGGGAACCGGATACAGTATGTTTGAACTGAGCACTTAACCTGGGCACCTCTTAATAAATATTCATATGCAGTCTTTGGAAGATATTTTTGTTGGATTCTTGCCACAGCTGACAAAGCACAGTGGGGCTGGACCTCCGATGACCCACAATGTCAAGTGACCCCCCCGCCCCCCCCGAGTGTTCCGGAGTGTTCTCACCTTCGCACTGCCTGCCGTCGCCCGTGTAGCCTGGCCGACACGTGCACCTGAAGGACACTAAGGTGTTCTGACAAATGGCGTCAATGTGGCAGTCGTCCAGGTCCTTAGCGCACTCGTCCACATCTGGGATGGAGGGGAGGATAGTGGGAGGGGGAAAGAAGGAGGGAGAGGTAGAGGGTTGGTGGAAAGAGGTAGCGATGGATGAAGGAGGGATTGGGAGAGGAGAGAGACTGTCATTCAGAGTGAAACTCGTGGACCGTAACGCAGAGAGCCAATCAGACCACCCCAGGATATACTGTACTCACGCTATCAGGGGAAAATGGTTCATGTCAAATAGCCCAGCCTGACAGCCTAACCACAGCTGGAAACCACAGACTGACAATAATTTGTATTTATGCATTTTTAAGAGATAGCGTAGTCTGCTCTTTTAATTTAACACTGCTTCAGCTATCCAGCGCTGAGCCCTGCATCACGAATTCACTTCACGGGACAATAGGGGGGGGAGATTAAGCGGAAACTCAAAAAAATCAAGCTTAATAATTCAAAAGAATGTGCAAACATCAAAGGTATACATTACCATATATATAGTCTCTAATTTATGCATGTATGTCTATACACACAGAAACACACACATAAACGTAGAAGAAACAGTTTAAAGAATGCACACTCTTAAACATTCAGACTGCATGAAAGGTGTGTGTGTGCATGTGTGTGTGAGCAGGTTTACATATCCTTATGGGGACCGGTTTCCTGGTTTTCTATTTTATAAAAATCGGTGACTGCTATGAAAAAACTAAAAATGCAAAAACTCTTGTATTTTGTTTCGTTACTTATGTTATGGTTAGGGCAGGGTAGGGGTTAAGGTTGTCATAGTTAGCGTTAGCATTTTTCCCATTGAAATGAATGAGCGGTCCCCATAAGGATATGTATACCCTACATGTGCGTGTGTGTGTGTGTGTGTGTGCGTCACCCTGCCACATCCCCTGTTCTTCTGGGAACAGGCTCTGGATCAGTGCCACCCAGACTGGTTGAAGGGTGGCTATGGCTGGATGGATGGATCAACGGACAGATGGACAAACAAAATATTTGAAACAAATGAACTGTTAATTATGGGCTTTCAGATCAGAGCAGGAAGCTTTTCAATCAGAACATCTGCTATAAAAAAATAAAAAGCACAGGGTCTCCGCTATAACTACAATAAATGCTTCGATTTTAACTTCCCCAACGGAAGCCTGTAGAAGTATGGGAACCCAGTAGAGCACATTCTGCGCTCGGCGTCACCGTGAGCCGACACAAGCGGGAGATTAAAGAAGGCGGCAAATGCAAAGTCATCTGCAGCCAGCAGAAATAAACAGAGCCAAAGAATAAAATGAAGAAGAAGAAAGAAAGAGTTCACTTGAAAAATTTAGACTCCTTTAGCAATTCTCTTTGAGGGCACAACTGTGCTGGAACTGCACTTGTTTTCAAATTTCTTTCTCGTTGCCAGTCCTATTAGGTTTATTCTCCTTGTTTTTTTTTGCCATGGTATTACGAAGCATGCCAAGTCAATGTTCCGGATACACAGGAAAAGTGGGAGCATTAGTTGTGGTTTCTAAACGATTCATCCATCCATCTTCCAACCTGCTGCAGGTTGGTGAGGAGGTGAAGAGGGCGGCAGGCTGGGCTACACCTGGAACAGGATGTCAGTAAACGACCCATAGCTCTAAACGTAAACAGCACCATAGCGTAGCTCGCGAGGATCTTTTATGCAATATTTACTGAGAATGCACACGAGCTTGTATAGACTTTCTGGCAAAGAAAAGCCTTGTTTAGGGAGGTTCTGCTCTCAGTCTTCCTGTTGTTCAGCTGGGGAGGTACGCATATCATAGGAGTATGTTAGGGGAGGCAGGTAAGACAAGAGGAGGGAGATGGGGGTGGAGGATTTGGGTTGGAGGTGGGGTTGCGGGACACTAGCTTCTTGCTGCAAATCAGACAAGAATATCAGAACTGGGGGGGGGGGGGGCTGAGCTAACAGGCGTGTCCTTTTGGTAGGGCATTGGCAGTGATCTGGGGGGGGCTGCTCCCCCACCCTCCCTCAGCTCCCCCTGGCTGGCGCTGACACTGTAACTGCAGTCCATTGCGACCGCGCCTGCACACAAAGCATGGCATGTGGGACACGTGGTGCGGCAACGTGTGCAGTTTGATGACCGGTGCCGTCGTACAGGCCAAAGCTCTGCGGTTTGGGTGGGTGGGGGCTGCAGGAATAAAAATGGAATGCAGGATGATTTTGTTAAATATGCAGATGTTTTTAAAAGAAAAAAACATTAAATATAAATATGAAGCATCTCTACTGAATAACAAGATTGCTTCTGCTGAGACTTAAAATATGGGAAGCAGACCAAGGAAACAGTGGTTCAGAACCAGCACTTTTGCTGTGTCTGGACTCAGCACGTGATGGAACAGTCCTGACTTCAAAAACCAATTATGTTGGGCAGCTGTGCTGAAAATAAACAGCTTCACCAAAGGAAAAATAGACAAAACAAACAGCTTTTAGCCAGCTCATACAGAGAACACCATCGGGCCCTTTCAAACAGCCCGGGAGCTTAAAATACACCTCATTTCAGCTTCTACAAGTCAGGCCAAATGACCAAAAACACACACTCTCACCCAGTCACAGCTTTCCCACGGAGCGATTTCCACAGACAATTTGCAACAGAAAACGATTTTCAGCAACGACTGTTCTGTGCAGCTTAAAAATCACCTTGTAAAACACGTCTCAGACCTCCGTCAGTCACGGTATAGCAAGAGCGGCAACCGAAGCAGATAACCTGGGCTGGCTGCCGCTTGACGGTAGCTAGCGGCCCTCATGGAGACCAACCCCGTCCTGATTACTGTCACAACGGCCGGCCGTCTTTATTATTCTTGTAGTTGCTTAGCAATTTGCCTTGCAGCCACATGCACCTCACCCTTTCAAACGGCACTCGGACGCCTACGCTCCTGCTCTGCTCAAGATTCAACTGCAGCACTGCCCGCTGACGGCCGTGCAGCCAGGCGCTCGTCCCGCGTGGAACGGTGCCAACCTGCCTCGTGTATGTGGGACGCGTGGTTTGCCATGCGGAGATTGATTGAGTTTGCCTGACTCTTGTAGCACTCCAGTTTCCTCCCACAGGGCAAAACATGTGGTTAGGCAAAGTGGTCTCCCACAATTTCCTTTACTGTGTGACTGTGTATGAGAGCGGGCGCCTTGCGATGGACCTTTGTGCTCTGTGGTACTGTGTAGGTAAGCCGGCCAGCCAGATGGATGGATGGACAGATCAGGGGCACCGCTAGAGATTTTGGGCCCCATGAAAGCATATCATATAGGGCCTCAAGCCCAGACCAATCTAATTTTGTACACTAATTTTCACTGAGATGACAAAGTGTCAATTGGTAGCTGGAATGTGTTGGGTACCAGAGGTGAGTCTGAACACCAAGAACGCAAAGACCAAGCTTGTGGTCTTCGCAAGACCGGTCTTGCTAACTTGCCTTCCAAGAATGAACTTGGGACGCAATGAATCATGGGATTGGTCTTGTTCGGCAATGGATGCAGCCGGTGTATCCTTGATATGTTGGGTGGAGCAAAACCAACACAAGACCAACACTATTTTGGATTTTTACTGTCCTCGTGTCCCTCTGTTCTTAGTATTGGACCCGGTCTTCGGCATTGGGCGTTAAACAGCTACATGAGACCACAAGTACGGTCAAGTTCGCATGTTGAGATTCACCCCTGGGCTCTATAAAGGTGGTGCAGCTAAGAAAAATGTCCCTGGGTTTCCTGCCTGCGGGGGTATAACTAGAAATTCTGGGGTGCGTAACAAAATGTCACCTTGGACACCCCCCTCCCATCCAATTTTGCATCTAATTTTATGTATTCATTTGCCCCTGTCAAGCGCTGGGGCTCCTGAATCCGTCAGGGTGTCTATGCCCCTCCGACGGCCCCCGCCAGGGTGTCTATGCCCCTCCGACGGCCCCCGTCAGCCTGAACTCACTGGCTACTGACGAATTTCTCCACTGCATTCAAAACTTCAGAGCTAAAGGGGAGATTCACACCTCCAGCCTCCACCTATAGACGAGACACGATTTGGCATCATGTGCTTTCTTAAGCTACCCTTCTGGGAGGTATTTACCTTGAGCTTTCGTTACCTGGGGATTTTCTTGCACATGATGGGCTACATGCCACCACATGACAATGTCAAAGAACTAATAGGCTTATTTAACATGTAATAGGACATTTCCTTCTTACTTCAGAACAATTTATGAACAGGCAAGTGCTCACAAAAAAAATGCTTCCTTCATAAAATGAACTGAGAAAACAAATTTTCTTTTGATAACAGAGATTCATTGCGTTAAAAATACGTTTCTTCACATAATAATACAATATTGAGATGGAGCTCGAATACCGGATATGCTTATGCTAGAGGTGGCAGAGGTAAGAGGCCAACCTCTAAAGCTACCATGTAATGTAATGACAACAGACACAGACTGTATGTGCGTGAGAGAGAGAGAGAAGGAGAGAGAGAGAGAGAGAGAGAGAGAGAGCTGGTACAAGAGCAGGGCCATCCAATTCAAGCTGTTACAGCCGTTATTGACAAAGCCTGCTGGACTTAATGAATTTCCCGTATGGAGTTGATCTTTCTTCAGGACAGCAGCCCTTTGCTAGCTGGGGGTGCGACCCAGAAAGGGGCATAAAATCCCACGGATGTGAAAGGCGTCGACACTGCACCCCGAATTCATTCAAAAGCCGAATTCAGAGATTCAGTGACTGTGACACCTGCATCATCTGTGGGAATGAGTTTCTCCCAAATCATCTCCACGTTTTACTTTTCACTTCAGCTTCATGAAACACTTTTTATTACTCTCCCCGATTCCTACCTTAAACCAGGATCATACCTTTCATTAAATGAAATTTCCTGCCTGGTCTGAGAACCCCCGTAGTAAGTAAACATAATGTTTTGTAAACAATGTGTGTGTGTGTGTGTGTGTGTGTGTGTGTATTCTGTGTTTTCAAAAATGTCATTTGACAGATAAAAAGAGCCTCAATCCAGTGTGGGGGTTGACGTGATCTACGCTGGTCCTAGCAGAGCCCTAATTGTCTACTGGTGCTAAAACAAAAGGTGGATATTAATGAAAGTGGATTGCAACTTGCAATTCTGCTGCCAGGACTGAAGCCAGCCCATTGTTCTCTGCAAGCTTTGATAAAGTGATCATTTGATGAACACAGCTTCATCTCCAAATGGACACGCTATAAAACTGAAGTACCTCATTCATCCCCATAGGGAAATTGGGTAATTTTCACTCAGCGATTTTGCTCTCCATGAGATAGACATCTACATATAGGTGAGAGCATAGTGTGCTTGAATCCGCTCAGGTCAAGGGCCCCTGCATAAGGGCCAATGGCGAGATGATTACAAATCCCAAAGCCGGCAAGCGACTCGCTGCCCCACAACGATGCAGAGACATCACAGGTCTCAACTTTGGCGATTGACCCAGTGCTGTGGAGGTGGGGTTAGGGAAGTGTTGAATCAGAGGGCCAAACACACATGCAAATGCACATCTGCATACCTTTCTCTGTGGGCATTTATCTCTGTAATTCAATATATAAAGATACATGGAGTCCATCCCAGCAAAACCAAAAAAACACATGACTTAAAGAAAAATTGTGACACAAAAAAAAACCAAAAAAAACGCATTTTAACCAGAGGGACGTCCCCAGAATCTGTTTTTTGGTTGTACACACACACACACACACACACACACACACACAAGACAAGCATTTCTCTTCATTTGGCTTGGAAGAATCTCATTCTGGATACTGAAAGTTCTTCAATCCCAAAAATGAGATTAAGAGTCTAAAAAGAAACAGCCAATTTCCTCCTGAAGGTAATGGTTAGCGGAGTGAGCCAATGGGACGGGGAGAGCCGTACGCTTGGGTAAATGCCAACTGGTCAGCACTGTGAGCCTGCCTGGATCACAGAGAGGTGTTCTGTAACAGTGCTTCCCAATCCGGCCCTTGGGGAGCACAGACAGTCCACGTTTTTGCGGGAGCTGGGAGGGAGCAAAAATGTGGACTATCGGGTGGGAAGTTTAGAGGGAGCAAAAACATGGACCGACTGTGGGTCCCCGAGGGCTGGATTGAGAAATACTCTTCTAGAACATAAGACAGGCACCTAATACCAACACTATGAGTGTATGTGACGCTATGACCCTTCGCATGAGACTGCATTAACCACAGATGGCGTAAGGTGGCTATCTGAATTGTTCACAGATGTGTCACCATCCATCTGCATCAGTCAGCATTGACCAGAAAGATTTCTCCTCCTTAGATATGCTGTGAACTACATGTGTACAGTCCTTAACGCAAACTATACCTCAAGGACTCAAATTCTAAAATATGCATCCATTTATAAAACAGCACTGTGCAACAAAAAAAATCCAATTTCCCTAAACTCTTCCTGTCCAATTATCTCCAAAGTGGACTAACAAATACCAACGCTACAAAAGCGATGCTTGCTTTCTTTCAAACTCTGAAGCAAATAGATACAGCAGTAGAAAACCTAGCAGGAGGGAGATTAAGCATGTATTGAAATGAATCCATTAGTGCTTTCAGTCAAAAAGCAGGAGTGGTTACAAACAATTCTGCTCTTTCAGCTAAACCAGTTGCTCCATTTTGTTCCCCTGGCGGGACACTAGATGCCCCTTGTCCCACCGGGGCAACAGACGTCTGCTGATCATAGGCTAACGAGGAATGTGGGGTCGTGGGGGCATGGGGGAGGGAAGGGAGCGACAGCGTTACATGATAAATGTGAGTCAGTGACATTCATGGTGGGACATGGGACTGGAGGGACGCTCAAAGCCGAAGGCAACGCCATGCCACTGTAAAAACAACCAGATCGCATTTCCTCAATAAAACAGCATACAGTTGGGTCATCCCATCATTATAGCAAACAGAGGACTTCTACTTTAATAATGGGTTTCCCATTGCGTTCCAGCAATCATGCAGCAAACGAAACAGCCTTTTCTCTCATAAAAATATCAATGTCACCGCCCATTAATTATCTGATATCCAAAACTTTTAATGCAAAGCTCACAGTCATATGGAGCTTACTAATGCAGCAGTCCAGCTTTCTCCAAGAAAACACCTTCTAGGACATTAGGACAAACAAGTGGGCAGGATGACGACGTGCGATTCTAAGGTGCCTGTAGTTCTCTGTCATTTTAGCAGGAAAGCAGAACATAGGCAGAAACAGATGAGGGGAAATAATTAACCAGCTTGAAGGCAACTGTGGACAAAGGAAAAAGTGAAGAGCATTACTGAATCATGCTAAGGCAATGCACTCAGAATCGAATGCTGAAGCGAGTGAGGAAAATTGTGAGTAAAGAATGAGAACAATTTCATTGCAGATATCTCTTTTTCTAACATGACACTAAAGATTTGGTGCATGCTTTTTCGTCCTCAGGCTTTTTCGCCTGCCCTCCCAGGAACATCCGAAGACATTTTCCCCTCCCATGATTACAGAAATATCCAGCAGCTTTTATCCTTCTAGAAAAAAAAAAACTCTGCGGTAAAGGTCTCTGAACAAACACTTTTCATTGTCTGTTTCAATAATATCACCACAGCACAAAAAATATGTCCACGACATATGAAAAAATAACTTCTAAACAGTAATCCCAAACAGATATTCGAAGGTAAGAAGAAAAAAATGTTTTCATGCCAAGTGCCATTGAAATATGTCAACCTGAATTTAACTATTTTTTAACACAAACTCCAAACACCTATGATTATATAATCCGATAGCACAGACATACAGAAGTACATTGTGCTTTTGCTGGAGAAACAACTGGAAGAGAACATCACGCCACAGAGAGGAAAAGTCTTCTTTCTGGGCTGGAGAAACAGAGGAACAGGAGTGATGTACCTTCCAAATCACCACCAAGAGCCAGATAAGACTGCAATGCTACAGAAGGCCAGTAAGACCTGAGAGAAATGTGTGAATAATAATAGAGCGAAAAACAAGGGTAAGTGCTGCACATCCCTCAGTGAAGATAAGACACGCAGTACAGCTCTATAGCTGTCTCGGGCACTGAAATGGCAGTACTCTGAAATTGTTAACCCTGAGTATCACTGGATGACAGCTCCCGCACAGTGCCATGACAAAATTAAACATGCCTTTTGAGGACGACCCCCCCCCCACTCCTACATCCCACCCCAGACCCCCCGTGATCCACATTATCTGTGATACATGAGAGGTAGCCCTTATTGGTTGTGATTCCACATTTTATCTTTGCAAAACTACAACAAACTATAATGCTTTTGACACTTTGTGTTTACAAGTGTGTTACAATTGTACACTGCATAAGTGGTCGGCAGACAGATGGATGGATGGATCTCGCGTCTCATAAGCCCTAGCTGTTTGCCGACTGCTCTCCAGTTCGAGACGCTCCTGGAGTCTTCGCTGTCGTTTTTCTGCAGCAGTGCCACAGATGAGAACTTAAGCGACGACCTCATGATGACACAGAAATGGGCGACTGGCTTGACTCGCATCACTGTGAGCCAGTTTCCCCCAGTCCTGCGTAACATAAACATGCATATATATCCGAATGCCGGTTGTCCATCCAATGCGTCCAGTATAATTACCCAGGGTCACAGACAGCATGAGCAATGGCCACCATGATGTGTCATTCATCAAAATACAGAAAAAAAGAGTCAGAAATCCGTTCTAAGGAGAGAGGGGTGTGATTTGACACTATCCTGAAAAGCAGCACACGAAGCAGGTCAATGCTTTACCTGCACACCAGAAGCTCTATGTGTGCAGACAATCCCCTTACAACAAATACCAAAGCAGGTTCCATTAATGCTTTTTGACACTCACCAGTGACTGCAACCTTCTTGTTTAATGGGGGAAACAAATAGGAAATGGACCCCCTCACTGTGGCATGCCCAGATGGCAGGTATAGAGACCTTCGGGGGTGCTGAGGTAACGCTGATGCAACATAAAGTCTCTAGAAATAGCTTCACCTCTCGCTACCACAGCGAGCTGCCTAAATCTGTGTTCCTGTCTGAGACCAAGCTCCGGGCGCAGGCTCCGTGCGAAGCATCATCACCGCAGTGCTGTAAGAGCGCTCGGGGCCCAAAGGGCAGCACGCCGCCGTCCTCTCTGTGTATCCGCTGGAAAAACAGCGGCTGTATCTCCAACCCGAATCCCTCGCCTTTTACTGCGCGGCGATGTTTCAATATGTGCCTGATGTGTAAATACTTTTTGAGAGATTTCCAACGTCGTTTTCCCGACGACTGATATTAAATTGAACTCACTGCATGCAAATAAACGCACGCTTGCAAATGCCACCGAGGTGAGACACCAAAATTAGCAGATGTGTGTCGTTCGGTAGAAATAAAAAATGTGTTTCAGGCCAATACAAGCTGTACTGCACGTGCATGGAAATAAGCGTGAAACCCTAAATGTTTGACGACTGGTGAATGTCCGGTCCGCGATGGGGCATTTTACAAGTATAGCCTATCGTCCAAGTTCAGAATTAATCCGTGTATAAAGAATATTATTCCTTAGAAAAACGGAAAAAGAAAGATGTATTTTCCTCAATTAGTGCCAACCCCAGAATAGAAGTGAAATTAATCACACAAACCTTTTTCACCAATTAAAACAAATAATAATAATATCGTGATCATAAGTTAATTAACTAATTTAGATGTCAACTGAAACTTTCTGAAAACTTATTGAATTTACATTTGGACCAATTGCCATTTTGACAATTATGAGCGCAGATGCTAAGGGTAGCCTATGTGGAAGTGATACAATTAATTTTTAGTTTCTTCTTGTTACATATATGAAGAGCCAAAAAGGACTTTGTTACGTACGCTACATCTTCGCTGGTTTGAAACCTCCCAATTTACATCTGATCATTATTATTTAAGCATTACACAATACATAGTACAGTAAACCTCATACGGTTTTGCATGCATGCAACCTCAAAAAAACGAAATTTTGTACGAAAACGAGAAAACTTACCTTGATAGGACATGTTTCTTAACGCCGGTACGGGCTGTTTGACTGAGGCAACCAGAAACAAACTTATTAATCCGATACAAGCGCGCATTACCCCTGCAGTATACATATTATTCGGTCGCACTGGAGAGTCGATGCTCTCTTAGTGTAAGAGGCACAAGCTGACGGTGCTCGCTGGAAAGTTCGCCGAAGCTCAATGCAGCCTATAAATTGCGAATGCCCGTCACCCTCTCAGTCCTGTCGCTTTGTTTTACCAAGTTCCCTGTTTAATTTGAAGGGGTTGGCAAATCGCTGGCGCCCGGTACCGTGCAGCCTCTAAGCCCCGGAGTGCTGTGATCATATTCGCCACCGCAACCAAGTTCAATATAAGAGAGAAGGTGGAAGTGTGAAGGCGAGGGTAAAAGAGGAGGAGGAGGGACGGAGATCCGCGCATCGCCTCAGCCACTGATCACGATCTCCCTCCCTTCCACCCCCTCCTTCGGTGTATCGAGCTGCACGCAATAATTTCTTCTGCAGCAGGAATTCACCGCTCTGCGGCTTGTTTGGACCGTACTGTGCGTTACCTCGGAAACGGCTTCCGGGCGGCAAAGGGGGTCGGACGCCGGGGCCATGTGCAATCAATGGGTCAACACGAAATATACGCAGCCTCAAGGCCAGTCGTTACACTAAAAGAAGAAAAGAAAACCCTTCGCTGACGGAAAAAGAGGCATTCCCCCTTTTAATGCTATGCAAACATCAAAGAACAATTTCGACCAAAATGCCCCCTTTCTTAGTGCAATTCCTAGAGTACATGACTATTCGTTATTTTAAAATACACAGTTAGATGGAGTAGTTAGGAACATAAGTTAGTTATCGTGTGTTGTAGAACTGATGAAGTGGTATTTTGAGCATTGTAGTGAAGAACCGTTTTTAACTGGTCATTTGCATGGATATTCTCTTAGTATTTAACCCGTATGTCTTTCTGCGGCTGTATTTCTGAAAGCTGCATCTGCCTTTACATTAGTCAGTCAGCTGAGTGGTGTGCCTTATTATTTCGGATTGGAATCCGGCACTTAGACGCCTGACCTTGAAAAATATTTCAAACACTACTTTAGCAGTGAGCGGACCTGAACCTTATCCTTCTGAATATCTCAATTATAGACTATGTTACTATTAAGCATGTACGTAATTTATTTCATATATGCCTAACTTCTGTAGATATTTCTGCTCCTGAATGACAACTGCAGTCTTCACACTTTTCCCTTTTACATACTCAGCTATAATTCTGTGCTGTAAAACACCCTTGCCTTCACATAAACATCCCGACTAAATGGCATTTTAAAAAATAAAACAGAAAAATGGGCCTAAATAGGCCTACATCCGAATGATGTGCATTTCAAAATCCATAGAAGTTTTGCAGTCCGTGGTATTGACCAGGAAATGCAGCTTGAACATGGATGGATGGATGGAATATTTTTTTGCAGTCGGCCTATTATTCTGCAGCTACGCTGCTGCTGATTGAGCGGTCTTTGGCACACTTGAAGATGCATGTAACTTGGTGAATTGTATTGTTCATATAATAGCCCTGTTCAGATAATCGCCCGTGAAGTACACATAATTCTTTTTTTAAATAAGCGACTAAATTGTTTTATCGTAGGCCATTTTTCTGGGCTCAGCGTTTAGTCACTGAATTATTTAATAAAAGTTAAAAGTCAGAGAAACGGGGAGTGCAATTTAGTGTCGCACGTAGTTTTCCCTTATAAAACCCAAGTTGCGACATCATAAAGAGTTTTGTTATTATATATTGGCACTTTTCTAATTGTTGCAGCGGTTTTCTTAGTTTGTAATGGACTCCAATACTCTGTGTTGCTCACGGATACAATATGGCATCAGATTTAATTAATTAAGTACTAACTCTCAGTCGTGTGAAAGACGGTTTTTTCCGTTTCCGAAGTATGACACATCGTGGTCTGTATCAAACACAGTTTATGTTACCCCAATAACCCAGTAATTGGCTATTCCTGCCAGGACACATTGGTTACTCACAGTATTTAAAAATCTAGCGGTGACACAATTAGTCAGTCAGTGCTGATCTTCAATGCGAGATAGAGACGATGATACTTTTTAGTCTCAGTTTTCTCGGTGGCTTTTAGTCATCCTGCGGAAATATTTCCCCATTGGCAAACCACGATATTTCAGTTCCTATAGGCCAGGGGTCTCCAACTCCGGTCCTGGAGAGCTACTATCCAGTAGGTTTTCTGTCCCACTTGGCTTCTGATGAGCCACACCTCTTCCTGCTATTTACCTGAGAACAGGTGTGGCTCATCAGAAGCCGGGTATGACAGAAAACCTACTGGACGGTAGCTCTCCAGGACCGGAGTTGGAGACCCCTGCTATAGGCTATTAAGGAAATTACAAGCAATGAACAGCACAGAGTTTGTTGTTAGAACACTTAAGGTGGCAACACTCAGTTATTCTGGGTAACAGCAGTGACATTTTGGCATTAAGGGTTATCTCAAGACTGAAGAAATACATACAAACACTGCAAAGAATATACTGTACAAGGAGAGGCAGATAAATTCATAGACGTTCCAAGGCCATAGTTTATGGCTGTCGTCTATCTTGGGAAAAGTGGATTGGTTAGTTAAATCAGTAACACCTGAGTGTCCATGCTGATACCAACCAAGGGACGACAGATACATTAATCCCCACCTGTGTAATGCAATTCTGGAATTATTAAAACATGCGCAGACATAATTCAGCAATATGGGATTAAAGCTGAATTTGTGTTATGACACCCAAGACTTTTATGAATGAATTTGTCACATTTTAAAATTAGATATGTAATTCAGACAAGGTCATGTCATTAATGAAACATTGGCACTGCAGGGTAGACCACACAACAGGATTGGGGAGGAACTGAATAGGGGCTCGAATCTGACCAGTTAAACTGAAATTGTTGTGAGCTTAGGGGTATAATGGGCATCCATGCAATTCAGGAGTGGTGTCTTCCATGCAGTAAAATAGGTAGTTGTAAATTTAACTGACGCACGTGTTAATGCATCTTAATTTCCAAGGTCACATATTATCTCAGTGCTCAGTGATCATTGCTAGTGTTGCTGAGCATTGGTCGCATAAGCAGGAAAAATATGCGAGAAAATGCTGGAGCAGGTATATGCATACATGTATGAGTTTATGCAGGTTTGGAAGTCATGCACTCTCTCCCTCTCTCTCTCTATCTCTCTCTCTCTCACACACACACACACACACACAATGACAATTTAGAGACAGCAATCCACATATTTTTGGACTGCACGGAGGAAACCAGAGAAGCAGGAAGAAGGCCACAGGCACACAGAGAGAACACACAAACTTCTACTTAAGGGAGCCGGGGCAGAAATCGAAAATTATTCTTTAAAGTGAAAATATTGGCTTTGAGAAACAACGGTTACAGCAAAACTATGCAGTTTTGAATAATTTGTTGGGACTGTCATAATCATTACTTAGAAGGCTACTAGAACAGTATGTTAAATTCTAGCAACATTTTACTATTTTTACTATGGTGATTGTGGCCTTTGACATAGTGTTCTTCATAAATAATTCAAGAATACATTAAAATGAAGGTTTTTTTGTGGACAGAGAATCCCTTTCCCACAGAAGACATCAGTCAAGTCAGAACAGAAACACCCAATCTATGTATCTACCCTGCAGGCTTCCAAACTTACCTTTACCTTTTGTAATTTGGTTACATTGGGATCTATTCAGATTGTGGGTTTGATTTTTATCATCGTGAGAGTGAATCTAAAAACCAAAGCATCTTGATTCAAAAGCAATCTGGGATGGAAATCCGCTTCTGAGCCTTCATAAGTCGTTTTATGTTTTTCTGCTGCTTCATTTCGATAGTTCTGTAAGATTACGCAGCGAATCAAAACAAGAGGAGCAGATTAAAGCACAAGCTCTCTTTGTTGTGAGTGGATTCCATGCTTCTTGATTCAAGACCCAACAGGGCTATTTACTCAAAAGCCCATCAGATGTGAAGAGCTCAACGTTATTAGTGACGGTACTAAAAATGACAGAGGAAGGATTTGTAAAAATGCAACAAGCCAAAATATCGTGGATTCAGGTTCCTGAGGCAAGTTGAGAAAATGCACTCTGAGAGAAGCAGAGCTAAGACAGTCAAGTCAGCTAAGGAAGTAAACACTTCATGTGAGAGAAGGTGTCGGCTTTGCTTTGCTCCAGGTTACAGCAGCTGTCATGTGTGATACAGACAGGCAGGTTCAGTCAAAGAGTGAATGGCCACTTCATTTTATAAATAATAGCAACCTCACATACCTTTCCAATGCAAACTTAGAATATAACATGTGAAAGGTCGAGCTGGTGATTCACGACGGTGTGCCAAATGGCAGTAACCTGTCACTGCATGAGGACAGTGTGTGACTGCATTAGGACTCCATGTCTTTGATCAGAAGGTCACTGGTTCAAATCCCCTGAGTCACCAAAATGGTGCCACCATTGAGCAAGGTCCTTAACAATAATGGCGCCGGGGACACTGTCTGTCCTCTGATCCTCACTTGCATGTCACTTTGGACAAAAGTGCTTGTTAAATAAATGTCAATGCAAAGTAAATGTATTCTGCATTAATAAATGGTGTTAATATTGACCACATAACACTGATTTTTCAAAATTATGCCTTTTCTAATAGTGTATTTCATAGATTTTCAATGTAGTAATTGACTACTGGTTATAGTTTCAATGTTGCTGTGATTGATATGATTTGATTTTTTAAAATATTTTACAATAATACACATCTTCGCCCATGATCCGAAGGAAAACAATCCTTCTTATTTCTTTATATCTACAACGTGCAATAAGCAACGCGACCGTTTCATCATTAAATGTGGACTCAGTGAAAATCTATTTGGCTTCTAAGTTGTAGAAACAAATGTTAATGATCGAAAGCATGGAAACTGCATAAACTTGGACTTGAGTCGTCCTCTTCTGGTCCGGGAGAGGAATTACAATCCTCTTATCTTGAGAAATCGGTCTAATAGGATCTGAGAACCATTCTCGTCCACAATACAAGACATACTTTCGCGGCTGTAGTAATTTAGTTTCTGCCACCAGAATAAAATTAAAAATTGCCCAGATTCTCGTTATAACATAATGATGTGTATGTTATGTTGATTCGTTTAAATAATTTTATCACGTTTTAATTGATGGAGACTGCGGTCAAACCCTCCGCACATACTTGCACCTGCGTGAATACCACGAGTTTTATGGTAGTAAATTTATTCGCTCAAATGATTGTAGTAAGGCGTAGTATTAATCTCCCATTCCTACTTGAGAACATCTACATCCTACAAATAGCCACACAAAGACTCATCCAAATCTGCGGTGGAATTTAGGGCTTATAAATTGGGGAACAGCTTTTTCCCCACAGCTGTCAATTACTCAAAAGTACCTTAGAGCGTTCTTTTTCCTCCTGCCTACCTACTCACACAACTTGGTACCTTGATTGAACAGTTTTATTAGCACGTTGTCTGCTA